GGGTGACTAGGGTCTCGAGATACAGACCAAAACGTGGACCCGGGTAAACTTAGGCTGTATTTGTTTAATATCGGCATAAAATGAAAGCTGTTATGTCAAAAGTATGCGGAAGCAAATAAAAAAAAAATTAAAAAATTCATGAATACCGTTTTAGTGAAAAATAAAATTGAGTAATGCGGACAGTTCTTTAATCTTCTTTAATATAAAAATTAATATAAAAATAAGTAGGGTTTTCCTTCCTGACGCTATAACTCCAGAACGCACGAACCGATTTTCACGGTTTTGCATTCGTTGGAGGTTTATAGCTAGGAAAATTCAGGAAAAATTTCAATAGAAAAGTATATGGTGTGTGAGTATCCCCCACGAAAATAAGTATGTTTCATTTAAAGTAGATGGTGCCATTGTTTAACAGCTATTCATTGTACTTTGCTCAGTTAATTTCATGTGACACTAGCGAATACCCGGCGTGCTTCGCTGCGCCTTAAAAGTAATTTTGTTTTGTTACTCCCTCTCACAACATTTGAAAATATTATTTAACTAGCGAATACCCGGCGTGCTTCGCTGCGCCTTAAAAGTAATTTTGTTTTGTTACTCCCTCTCACAACATTTGAAAATATTATTTAATATTGCTGTACATATTTGTATAGTAGGGAGATTTTTTCAAATTATATAAATATACGTTATTTGAATATTGAATCAATACACGTTTGAGGAAAGGGTGCGATAGTAGACTCCAGTTATAAGATTATAAATTAAATTTCCAAGAGAAAGTCGGTTCTTTACATATTTTCTAATTACCTTCGAAAATATATTAACTCAAAAAAAAAATAAACAATGCTTCATAGATCGATTTTTTTAAATCTAACTTCATAAAGTTCTTTAAAAATATTTTGTAAATGAGGCCATAAGAGCTTAGGGGGAGAGTTACAACACAAAAATACATTTAAGGCGCAGCGAAGCACGCCGGGTAATTGCTAGTTATCCTTTAATTAAGTGTTCCATGGACTCCAACGTATTCATTTCCATGTTTTGACTTCATTGTTGCCAAAGAAGAAACGCTATAACTTTTATTAGCCAAGATACCACACATAATTATTACCCATTATAGTTAATAAAGTTAAAGGGCGCAATGGGTGTTTGTGCCGCTGTCGAAAGGATGGGGCATGGCGATGACTTATATGAAGCGCAAATTTCGCTATCCAAAAGCGATTGTTTTGTTAGCAGGCGATTTAATTGTACACCTCTCTCCTTCCCACCCCAACAAATTTTTATCTTTTGCGGACTTTATAGGCCATAAAAATGGAGCTTTACGATGCTGTCATGTTGTGAAAATAAGGAGTTTTTTTTATTGAAATATCTATTTATGTGCATATGTATATAAATATATAAGTATGTCTGTATGTTTGTAAGTAAATAGTTATTAAAAAAACAGCAGCTTTGCTAATTAATTTTTTATTTATTTATTTCGATTTACAAAGAGAAACTTACGAGCGATTACGCCTGCTGATCGGAAGATATACTTACAGACTTAACCCTCTGCCCAACGGCACTTAAGCTGACGTTGTCGGCTCTGGCACCGTGTAATCGTGTAAGTTACTATAGAAAATATGTAGAAGTGCACTCTCCTGTCCACACAATCCATGGAAGTCATCCAAATC